GGCAGATCACCTGAGGTCAGGAGTTCAAGACCTACCTGGCCAATATAGCGAAACCCCGTCTCCACCAAAAATTTAAAAATTAGCCGGTCGTGGTGGTGCGTGCCTGTAATCCCAGCTACTCAAGACGGTGAGATAGGAGAATCGCTTGAACCCAGGAAGAGGAGGTTGCAGTGGGCCAGGATCATACCACTGCACTCCAGCCTAGGCAACAAGAGCAAAACTCTGTCTCAAAAAAAAAAAAAAAAAAAAAAAGGAACTCCTATCATGCTCTGCACCGATGAACCTTGAAGACATTATGGAAACTGAAATAAATTAGCCACAAAAAGTCAAATAGTGTACTACATGATTCCACTTTTATATGAGGTATTTAAAGTATGTAGTCAAATTCAGAAACAAAATAGAATGGTGGCTGTGGCGCAAAGGATACAGGGGAAATGCAGTTGTTGTTTGGTAAGTATAGAATTTCACATCTGCAAGATGAAAAAGTTCTAGAGATCTATTGCACAAGGTACATTTAATTGTACTTGTGGACTAAGCTCTGATTTTTTTTTTTTTTTTTTTGAGATGGAGTCTCGCTGTGTCGCCCAAGCTAGAGTATAGTGGCACTATCTCGGCTCATTGCAACCTCAGCCTCCGTCAAGCCATTCTCCTGCCTCAGCCTCCTGAGTAGCTGGGATTACAGGTGCACACCACCACACTAGGCTAATTTTTGTATTTTTAGTAGGGACGGGGTTTCACCTTGTTGGCCAGGCTAGTCTTGAACTCCTGACCTCAAGTAATCCACCTGCCTTGGCCTCCCAAAGTGCTGGGATTACAGGTGTGAGCCAACACACCCAACCTGATTTTTTTTATCTTACCCAAATTCCTACCTAAGGGGTCTAGGGAGTCATGCCCTACAAACCATAAATTCTTATTAGGTGGGTTTTATTTGACCCTATATATTGTGATTTACTTTTCAATCTGACTCTGGCCTAACATTATGAGACAAGGAAGAAATCTTTAACACCAAAATATATTTCTTTGCCATACCTTAAAATTGTCCTGCAAAGCCTGTTGTAGGAAAAATCCATATTCTATAGCGAATCCCCTTCCCACTTTGTTTTCCTTCCTTCCCAAATCCAGGAGATAATCAACTACGAGCCAGACACCCTTTTAAGTCCAATAAAAAACAATTTACAACCTGCTCTCTCTGAAGTCTGCTATCTAAGAGCTTCCTCTGCACAGTAAAACTTGGTCTCTACAATCCTTTATCTTTAACCTGAGCATTCCTTTCTGTCAATCCCAGGTCTTCAGACAACCTCAACCAATTGTCAACCAGAAAATGTTTAAATTTACCTATAGCTTGGAAGTCCCCACTTTGAGTTGTCCTGCTTTTCTAAACCAAACAAATGTATCTCTTAAATGTATTTGATTGATGTCTCATGCCTTCCTAAAATACATAAAACCAAGCTGTACCCCAACCACCTTGGGCACATGTTCTCAGGACCTCCCAAGGGCTGTGTCATGGGGCCATGGTCACTCATATTTGGGTCAGTATAAATCGCCTCATATTTTACAGAGTTTGACTCTTTTTGTCAACAATCATCTGGCACCCATTCGTGGGGCATCAGAGAAGACTCAGGGTCATACTATACACTTAAAAATGGTTAAGATGGCCAGGCACGGTGGCTCACACCTGTAATTCCAGCACTTTGGGAGGCTGAGGTGGGTGGAGCACTTGAGGTCAGGGGTTCAAGACTAGCGTGGGCTAACATGGTGAAACCCCCTCTCTACTAAAAATACAATAGCCAGGCATGGTGGTGCAGGCCTGTAATCCCAGCTACTCAGGAGGCTGAGACATGAGAATCGCTTGAACCCAGGAGGCAGAGGTTGCAGTAAGCCACTGTACTCCAGTCTGGGAGACAGAGCAAGACTCTGTCTCAAAATAAAAGAAGAAAAAAAATAATTAAGTTGATAAATTGTGTTATGCGTTTTTGACACAATAAAAAATAAATTATTAATTGAAAACAATGTAAATACCCACCAGCAGGGAATTGGTCATGCTACAGCTATACAATAAAGTAGCCATCAAAAATGATAATACTGATACCTATTCAGTTATACCCATAGCCCATTCTTGCAAGTTTTTTCAATATAAAAAAAGCAAAGCATTATATCATAAAACATGTGTCCATATCTGTAACTAAAGACAGAGGTATGTGTAAACAGTGGCATCTCTAGGTAATAGGATTGCAGATGACCTTTACTTTCTTTTTTATATTTTCTTGTGTGGACTAAGTATTAAGTACATGGCAAAAGATGGCTTAAAAGAGGAAGTGACTCCCACCATTGGCTCCAGAATCCTGGGATGGAATTTTGTTTCCCTCATCACTATGTGTCTGGCACATGTTGAAGGATTAATAAAAATTTGAGAGGTCGTTAAGAGTTCAGGAATCAAGACAGGCCTGGATATGAATCTCAATTCATATTCATTGAAAAGGGGCCTCAGACTTTAAAGCTCTTTTTTTTGGTTGGTTGGTTGGTTGGTTTGTTTGCTTGTTTGAGATAGAGTCTCCTGTGTTGCCCCAGGCTGGAGTGCAATGGCTCAATCACAGCTCATTGCAGCTCTGACCTCCTAGGTCCCAGCGATTCCCTCACCTGAGCCTCCTGTGTAGCTGGACCACAGCTATGCACCACCAAGCCCAGCTAATTTTATTTTTTGTAGAGACCGAGATTTCCTATGTTGCCCAGGCTGGTCTGTAACTGCTAGACTCAAGTGATTCTCTTACCTTGACATCTCAAAGTGCTGCGATTACAGGTGTGAGCCACCAGGTCAGACCTCTACAATTCTTATTTAACTTCATTGAGCCTCACTTTCTTCAACTATAAAAATGTCAAGAAGACTTAACAGATTGTTGCAAGGAAAATGTACTTATCACACAAAACATCATTTCTGGCTCAAATGAAACTCAGTAAAATGATGGCCATCATTACTGTTTAGTGACTCGATTTACACTGAAGAACTCCCGACACAAACAAATAAAAAAAAACTAAGCATCTACAGAAGACTGCATTGCTAAATTATCACTGAATATCCTAATTGCATTAAAAAGCAAGAGACAACACTTTGCCTGGTAGATCTACAAAAATGTCTTGCTGCAAGGTATGGTTACATTCCTATATCTAGCAGGATTACACTATAAAATTTACCATCTACTTTGTATATAAACATCACTCATGAGTATTGGACACAGACTTATTAGTGCTTTAGTAAAAATAATGCAAAGAGGAAAACGTGCTTGTTTTAATCCAAAGGTAGAATGTAAAGAGAATGTAAACATACAAAATGTGACTAAAGACTTCACTTAGAGAGAGATAAAAAGAGTAAGTGACATTACAATTTTGTTTAGCCTCTCTCTTCCTCACAACTTTTGGACAAGGAGCCTGTCTTTTTAGGCACTGCTCTACCCACAAAGTCTATACAGTGTAAGCGCTCATACCATAAATACAAGAGGATTTATAAGAGAAAATCTCAGTAAAATCATGGAGTAAACTGAATTAGAATTTATCTGAGAAAGTCTCAGTCAAAATAATAAAGGAAAGAGTTTAAGAATAAAGGGCACACGCATAGGGAGGGAAAAAGTCTTTTCTGTAACTTGCATCTCCTTTATTCAATAAGTTTTCCTGCGGACCTTATACAGTCACCCTTGAACTCTGAAGGAGGCATAATCCAGGGCCTGACCGTGCGAAGATTATTAGGCTGTGGGTTCCTTAACCCTTTTAGTGATGCCTTTATTCATCGGTGTATTATAGTTGGCACCCTGTGGTCACGTTTTTTGTTTTTGATTTTGTTTTGAGATGGAGTCTCGCTCTGTCACCCAGGCTGGAGTGCAGTGGCGCGATTCTCAAGTTCAAGCGATTCTCCTGCCTCAGCCTCCCATGTAGCTGGGACTACAGATCCCTGCCACCACGTCCGCTAATGTGTGTGTGGTTTTTTTTGGTAGACACAGGGTTTCACCATGTTGCCCAGGCTGATCTCGAACTCCTGACCTCAAGTAATCCGCCCGCCTCGGCCTCCCAAAGTACTAGGATTACAGGCCTGAGCCACCGCGCCTGTCCGCCACTCGTTTAATAAATGGTCGTTATTCAAAGAATGGTGATGGGGCCACTCTTGATTATCAATCCTTCAAACAGAAAAGCCCTTTTATGTGACTTTTTTCCTTCAAAGCTGACTTTAGAAGTGTGTTTGGGGCCGGGCGCGGTGGCTCACGCCTGTAACCCAGCACTTTGGGAGGCCAAGGTGGGCAGATCACGAGGTCAGGAGATCGAGACCATCCTGGCTAACGCGGTGAAACCCCGTCTCTACTAAAAATACAAAAAAATTAGCCAGGCCTGGTGGCGCACGCCTGTAATCCCAGTACTCGGGAGGCTGAGACAGGAGAATGGCGTGAACCCGGGAGGCGAGGGTTGCAGTGAGCCGAGATCTCGCCACCGCACTCCATCCTGGCGACAGAGCAAGACTTCGTCTCAAAAGAAAAAAAAAAAAAAGTGTGTCTGTAAATGTGGGAGGAGTTAGTTCAGAACTTCGGAGCCCTGTCTTTACAGTTCGAACTGACCACGCGAAGACTAAAGGCATTAGAGGTACTTTCTACAAATTTAGCCGTGCAATCTAAGAGCCAGCAGGCCGAGACGCCCGGGATTGAAGGCCGGGGTGGAGACAGTATGAGGGCCCTGGGAATTATCCCCATCCCATGTCACCCACTCTTTCTTAAAATGCCATTAAATTCCGTTCAACTTTTTATCTCCCATGCAAGAAACTAGCGACTTGCCCGCCACGCCACTTCCAAACAGGCACACCTGGCGTATTCGCCGCAGCATCTCCAACTCCCGCCACAGGTTTGGGATGTGTCCGCCCCTAAGCGGAAGTGACGTTCAACGGGACTACGTGAAAGTAGACGAGTTCAAATACGTACTAATAATTTAAAACCCGTATGGTGTTTTGAGGAAACTCTTCTGCTTACCCTTCTTCCATCATTTCTCTCCTGCTAGGGTTGCGAAAAGGGCTCGGTATAGCCTCGCGACAACTCGTTCTCCTCCCTAATTCCAAGTCATTCAAAACTCTGTCCCTTTTCATTGGCTGAGGCGGCGGCATGGGTACCTCTCAGGAACTACAATTCCAGCCAACCACCGCGACAGGTGAACGGAGGAGAGGTTATGAGCAGGGGAAAAGCGTATTGGGAATTGTAGTCCACTCCAGGTCGAAAAGAGCACTGACCCGCCCTCCGCCACTGACGCTGGAGAAACCAGGTGTTCGTTTCAGAACCCGTTAGCGCTAAGGGGAAGAGCCAAGCCCTTAAGCAGCATGCCTCACTTCGCCCCACATGGAGGATAATTTTCCTTTACCCCTAAAAAGCACTATGAATACCCCCTGAGGAAATATGGTTGTCTTTTAAATACCTCGAGTCAGTAAAAACTCACGAAACTCCCTCACCTCAGGATCCAACTCGTGGGAAAAGGTAGCTCTTTTACAAGTGGGCAAAATGGCTGTCCTCCTAGTTTTACCATTGGTTGGCTTTTGCGCCCTTCAAGGGCGGTTACTTATCACGGATTGGTTCTTTTTCTCTTGAGGTTGGAGGAAGATTTGGCACGGCTCTCCGAGGCCTGGGAGGAGGTAAAGGGGTGGAGAGAAGGCAGTTTTTTCAAGCGTGATTGGGCAACACCCATGTCACTCCGGGGACGTACAACCTATGAGTAGTCGGCTGCCGCTCAAAGAGAACGAAGGGGCGGGGCTAGTGCGTGGTGGGAAGGGGCGGGATTCTGCCAGCCGCGGCTGCCGCTGGAGCCGGTGTCCGGGCTGGTGATGGGGTTAATTCCCTTTCGTAAGACTCTTACTTGCACCCACCCAGCCCCGCCGTCGCCCCGCCGCGCCGCGCTCCAACCGCCTCCTCCTCCTCAGTAACGCGGGTAAGAGATGCCCTCCCCTCCCCCGTCCGGCTCCCTGGGAATAACGCGCCTCGCTCCCCTCCCCCGCCCGCCAACCGGTAGCGCTAACGGAGAAGGAGGCAGGCAGGGGAGAGATGCGGTGTGTGAGAAGGTGGCCTTCCCCGCCGCGTCGTCGGCGCTCCAGCCAGGGCCTTCCGACGTCCCGCTGCTGCCAGCCCGCCGTTAGGTCGGGTTCCGAGTGAGCCAGTCTCGCCTGGCCCGCGGCTGCGGCTGCGGCTGCAGCTGCAGCCACTACCTTGTGCCCACCGCCCCCACTCGGGGGCCATGTGAAAAGCAAACCCCTCGAGGCCTAGCGGAGGAGGCAGGGGAAAGGTTCCCGAGTCCCTGCCATGGCTGCTGCTGCCTCCGCGGCTGCTCTTGCAGCCCCAGGGACTCGGGAGCCAGCCACAGCAGGCCTGCCTGGAGCGTGGTGCTGCTCTGTCGGGTGGCTGGCGCCGGTGCCCCGGGCTCCCACGGCCGAATCCCCTGGCCTTGCACCAAGAGAATTTTCAGCTTCGACCGGTTGGTGAAATGTAGGTACATTTTCCCTGTGGTATCAGCAAAAGCACAATGGGAATATTAAAAAGAAAGTTGAATGACTGTCAGTGTCACGGTCCCCCGGGATCTGATTTACACACGTTTTGATGACTGAGCCTTAGGCTGCCAACAAATTTTTGTGTGCTTTGAAGTTTTTTGGTGTTGTGTTTTGTTTTGTTGTTGTGACTAGGTCCAAAGGATGCCTCTGTTGAGCTTGTTTTTATAAAGAAACTTAAATTATTGGGACTATCATGCTCCGTGTGTAATTGTCCTGGGATAGTAAGTTAACTAAGTAAAAGGTGAAGAGGTGCTTTCCAAATTAGGATTCGTGAACAGCAAATGGTTTTTCTAATAAAATTTTCTGAATATATGTATCTTCATGGTTATAGTTTACCTAATTGTAACTTTAAGAAACCCTTTTTAGCTTAAATGTCATTGATGACAAAAACTTTTAAATGAAAAGATGGTTAAAGTCAAACTGGAAGTCTACCCATTTATAATATTTGAAACAAGATCTTCTAAGTATTTAGTAGGATACCAGTCTGATAGGAATAATTGGACACGTCTCAATTTCTAAAAATTTGGCATATTTGGCTATTTTTAGGGCATTGTGTTATGATTTCCTCATCACGTTTTGATCAAGTGCTTGTCTTTTCAAATACCACTCTGCTTTTATGCCTGGAAGAATATGTCTTTAAATCATGGATTCTATAGTCTGTAGTAGACATACCTGTGATCAGAGTTAAAATTCTAGGCTCATTTCTGAGGTTTACTTATTGGCAGAATAAACCTGGGTTCTGAAGAAATATCTGAGTTTTGATCATTTCTTCAGGGTCTGAGAAGACTATGGTGGCTTAATGGTCTTCTATATTCCATAACTAGCACACCTGGATACAGGATTGACGTAGATATGTTCGGGTCCTGGAGGAAATTTGGGTATCTATTAAGAAATGAAAATTGCCAGCCATATAGTAGTCACCTGTAGTCCCTGCTACTCAGGAGTATGAGGTGAGAGGATCACTTGAGCCCAGGAATTAAAGGCCAGCCTAGGCAGTATAGCAGAACATCATCTCAAAAAAATAAATAGATAGCCTTAAAAGATAAGTCCCCTGAGATCCCCACAAAGTTCCTGTAACATATATTGCCAGCTGCCAGTATAGTATTTTCCAAAACTTAAGAGTTAATTGATAAATTATACAATTGATACTTTCAGATCTTGAGTGATTTATATAGAGAAAAGACTGTTGAAAATTTAGGAGTCGTCTACATTTTCTTCCTGGCTGTTGGATCCCTCCATGAACCTCAGTTCGGTTTCCTCATCTGTAAAATGAGGATGATAATGCTTAACTTAAGAAGTTATGAAAATTAGAGATAAATATATAGTAACGGCTGGGCACAGTGGCTCACACCTGTAATCCTAGCACTTTGGGAGGCTGAGGCAGGCAGATCACCTGAGGTCGGGAGTTGGAGACCAGCCTGACCAACATGGAGAAACCCTGTCTCTACTAAAAATACGAAAAATTAGTTGCGTGTGGTGTTGGGCACCTGTAATCTCAGCTACTCGGGAGGCTGAGGCAGGAGAATTGCTTAACCAGGGAGGCAGTGGTGAGTGGAGATCAGGCCATTGAACTCCAGCCTGGGCAACAAGAGTGAAACTCCATCTTAAAAACAAAGAAAACAGAAAATTAGAGATAAAGTATGTAAATCCCCTAGCATTGAGCCTGACACAGTTTGTGCAATTAAATATTAACTGTTATTATTTTCATGCATATTTAGAGAATGGGATTGTTGTTCCTATGCTGAGGGTGGTGTTGCAGCCTTCGAACACATTCTGTTACTGAAGAGTACCATAGGCATATTAATTTGTATAGTGACTTAAGCACAGTTTGCGGCTATTTTTGATTCCCTTATGGAAGTTTTTTTGACTTTGAATTAAAATACAAGTGTCTGTGGAATATATTTCAAATGGATTATTGGGAATAATAATTAGTGTTCTCCATGTAGTGGTTAACTATTGTAATATCTTTTAAATTTTATTTAGCTGATACATGTTTCAAGCTCTAGTTTATATACATGCTATCCATATTCATTGTGCTACCAGGCGACATTTGAACTATTTAATACACAGTTAAGATTAAGCAAATCATTTGAAATTGTTATGACCATATGTGACTACAGTTTTGTTGCTGTTTTTTAATTCTCCTTATTTATCAACACTTGAGTGTTCCTTTTCTGTGAAACAACTCGTGAGAGATGCTATTCCTTCCTCTTCCTAGGCATTTCTGAAAATTTACTGACTCTTCACACATAATAGTGTTCTTAGAATTTCTATAGTTAAACAAATTTAAGGTTAGCATGAAGATGGTTATATTACGAAGTCTTTTCTGACAGGAATGCACAGTCAGAATTCAAAACAAGCTGCACCTTAAGCAAAATAATGAGCTACGGTATATACGGTGGGCCTCCCAAGTCATTGGACCTCGTACAAATGGCTGCTCCTCCAAGGAGGTGTTACATGATAGTAGCAATAGAAAATTATATAAACTTGAAATGAGCTTTGTCAAATATTATGCAGAAGATGTGCATTGCCATGCATTGCAAGTAATAGGGTTTTTTTTTTCTTTTTTTGAACTGGTACTTTAGTATACCTAATTTCATCCATTTGAGTTAGTATTAAGTTCTAATTTCTCAGCAATAAAGTAGTGAAAATTGGTAGCAGTTTTGTTTTTCCCATTCTTGGAAAATGTTACAGTGGTGAACAAGGCTTGATAGGTTTGTAAAATACTATTGCTATTTGAAATAGAAAATTTCACTACTGACTTTCCATATTCTGTTGTAAATAAGTTGGGTAATTAGTGTGCCAAGGAGGCGTGGTAACAAATGGTAATGTAATTTTCAAATAGCTATTGCAGCACCAAACCGCAGAATCAATACTCTGTCTTTATAACCACATTTGCATATAGGGATAATTTATTTCTTATAACTTAAGATAACTAAAATGAAGGGCCGGGCGGGGTGGTTCACGCCTGTAATCCCAGCACTTTGGGAGGCCGAGACAGTCAGATCACAAGGTCAGCAGTTTGAGACCAGCCTGGCCAGTATGGTGAAACCCCATCTCTACTAAAAATACAAAAATTAGTAGGGCGTGTCGGTGGGCGCCTGTAGTCCCAGCTACTTGGGAAGCTGAGTCAGGAGAATCGCTTGAACCTGGGAGGCGGAGGTTGCGGTGAGCTGAGATTGCGCCACTGCACTCCAGCCTGGCGACAGAGCAAGACTTTGTCTCAAAAATAAATAAATAAACAAATAAATAAATAAATAAATAAATAAAATGGAATGAGATGGCTATTGTGAAGAGAAGGAAGTCAGTTTTTTCTCTGTATAATTGTAAACTTTAAAAAAAAATCATCTTAAGACTTAATCCTTAAGACTTCCTGTACTGTTTAATATTATGGACATGTGCAAAGAATTAAATCATATAATTAAACAAAATTTTGTCAAGTTAACTTTGCCTCTCAAATAAGGAAGTTATATAATTAAACACATTTGCTTGTACCTAATAAGACATTAGCGTCCTCATGAATGTATGTCATTTCCAGAATTTAATTCAATTAGTTATTGGCTGAGGGTTGAAATAGAGATGAAACTAAATCCTGGCCCAAAGCTAGTTTTATACCTTATTTTCCAGCAATTTGTTTTTTTTATATCTAGGTTTTATCTTTAATATTTTGCCTCATCTTACCCATTCTTAGTCTCCATACACACATATTAACTTAAATTTCTTTTTCTGAGAGTTTTGAAAGCCTATAGTTTATGATCTTTGTTCCCTCTTTGACTTGTGAATTTTATATTTGTGAGTTTTTTCCAAATTTCTACCTGTCAGCTCACTTCTTTAGGAAAGTTGTAA